GCAGGGAATCCAAGGGAACACTCTCCTGCAATGGATGTCTTCAGTTATGGTGTCCTCCTTATAGAGATGAGTATTTGTACTATTCCACAGCCTGGTAACAGAAGGCAGGATGTTAATTCTATTAAGCATGCTGGGTTGAAGGGTCTTATTCAACGCTGTGTTATGGATAATTATAAATTGCGTCCTGAAATGTCTGACATAATAAACGAACTGACTCAAAGCATTTGATTGGTGTAGCAATTTTGTAGTTTTGTTGTGATGATTTGAAGCTATTGCTGTTTTGGGTGGGGCTCAGTGGGTGTGTCTATTTTCAACTACGCTCCTCCCACTCCTACAATGGCAGCTCTAAAGTCAGCAAAAGCAGTCCCCAGCCCCACTGTAAAAGGTTAATAAGTTATAATTTATGATGAGCATTGTTTGACTGATAGTTTGTGCCATTATATAGACTATGAACCTGCTAAGAGAACTGGTCATTCTACAGTAATAGTAGGAAACTGTCTTTATATGTGGGGTGGGGAGAGAGATGACCATCCTAAAGTACACAGTATTGAGATAGAGAGAAAAGATTCATCATTTGTGGAGGTACTTCACCTTCCGACTGGTAGGTGGGAGCAGAAACCTACCACTGGTGATCCTCCACTGGGTATCATTAACTATGCAGCTGTTGCTATTGGGAATGAGATATTCTATTATGGAGGACGTTGTAGTCATTATGGTCGCTATGATGATGATGTTCTGTACAGTTTAAATGTTGATACTCTAAAATGGAGGAAAGTTGTACCTGCTAATTCTGAGGATGGTCCTAAGGAGAAGGATAATTGTGGTATGATTGCTGTAAAGATTGAGGGAGAAGATTACCTTGTAATAATTGAACCATATTCTATTTATATTCATTTTTAGAATTGCTACAGGTAAATTAATAATTTTAATTAATTGATTTAATTAATTAATTACTGTATAGGTCAGTGGATCCCACCTAAAGTTACTGGAGATGATATTACTGAAATTGATTACTTTAATTTGATGTCAGTAGATGATACCAGTGTTATTTTACTTCAAGATGATGATAGTACTATATCAAAACATTCTGTTTATCGGCTTACCTTTACTAAAGGATCAGTGGTAATGATTTTTTTGTAATTAATTGAATTTATCTCATTGTATGTTTAGTTTTGTGTAAGGATATTTAATGGAAATAGCCATGGTCTATCAACATATTCTCATCCTAGTGTATTACTGAATAGTCCTTCAGGACTAAAACTATGGGCTATTGGTGGCAATGAATGTGAGACATTTGATATTAACAAAACTAATTGGAAGAAGGTTAAAACACATTATAATGATATGTACATACTTACATTATGCATGTACATTCTATCTGTTATTACAGAATAATCATTATTGATCATTTATTATTATTATTATTATTATTATTGTTATTATTATTAGGTTGGTGTTCCTGAATCAGTCAAAAATAGAGATCTTCGTTCTCTTTCAGTTTGGAATGAAGATACAACCAATACTTGGATAATAGAGTTTGGAGGACAATGGGATGAGGCCTCACTGAGTGATACAAGATTCCTTAATATCAGTGAGTATAATAACAACTACTGTACAGCAATATTTGAGTTACTTATACTGTTAATTTAATATACATGTAATGCACACACACACACACACACACACACACACACACACACACACACACACACACACACACACACACACACACACACACACACACACACACACTTGTAATACTGTATATAATATTAAATGATTTGTTTTTCTTATTATATAAAGGATACACTGCAGGAGGTGATATTTCTGTGAGGACATACTCACTGAGAGAGTATCAAGAAGAAATGGGAAAGAGAGAAAGATCAGTTGCATGAACAAGAGATCAGTCAGAAAGGAGAAAGAGAAAGAATAATGGAAGAGAGACACCAGCAAGAGATTCAACAATTACACCTTCAAGTGGAAGAGCCGGAGAGATTAACAGACCAGAGAAAGAGAGTGAGCCTGGAGAAACAACTTCAAGAAAGAGAGTGACATACAGCTTCAGCAAAAGGTTTAAGAGTTACCTACACAAAATGATGACAGAAAGAGACAGTTTCAAGAGAGAGAACAGGAACTTCAACAACAACTTCAACAAAGTGCACAACAACTTGAAGAGAAAGACAGGCTCAATTTGAGGAGCAGGAGTCAGCATGCATGGGTAGTGAATGGAGATGAAATAAAAATGACAGAGACAGCCCTTGGTAATGGAGGCTATGGTGAAATTAGAGTAGCAATATTCTGTGGACTTCTTAAGAGTAGCCACAAAGAGTAATCCTCTTATAATCTGCATCTATTTTTGTTAAAAAATTAACCAGTTCCTACTCCCTCCCACTAGTCTTAAAAATTAAAATACATCCTATTATTCTCAAATTATTCTTCATTAGTTTTAAAGCCTTGTTCCGGAATAGTGGCCCAAGTGGCAAGCCTAATGCTTGCCGCCCCCAATTAAGTCCTTAAAGTGGTTTGAAACTGGTTTAGAAATAAATCTGTTTCATGAAATTTGATACACTAATAGTGTACTAATTTACACTAATTAGTGGTAGTTCCCGGTATAATAATCTGTAGCTTTAAAATATTGTTTTTTGTAAAGTGGCGATTTCAAACCACTTCAAGTACCGTAGGTCGGGATATATTCGCGGCTGCAATTATTCGCGGTCATAAAAAAATTCAATTAAAACCATGGAAACTGTTAGAGCGTTGCTATGACAATTAAGACCACGTGTTTAGTGTTCAGCTATTCATCTGTTCTTTAGCAGCTATAATGGAGCCATTCACCAATAGCGAGTCCTTCTTTATCTGTTAACTTCTTGTATGGACCGCTACCTCAGAGCTCTTT